TTTCTATTTACTTGCCATAACTTTCTTTTTTTCCCATTTAAGGATGTTCAAAATCACTCATGTAAAGATTGTTTTGATGGTTGCTTTAAACTTATTATCAAATAACTCTGTCATCTCTACTATCTCAGTGTTAGTATCTATTATCTTTTTTATTCAGTTTTAGATCTTTCTGCTTCTTTGTATGAATAATTTGATAATTGAAACCTAGAAATTTTGAGCATTATGAAACTCTGGATCTTTTTCAACCCTGTTTCATCTGGCTTTGCTTTGATATTGCTCTGGTAAGGGAAGGGTGAGATGTCACCTCATTATTTCAAAAAGACAGTAGAAATCCAGGTTCTCCACTTGGCCCAAGGTTTGTAGGTGTGTGTGTCAGGGGAGGGGGATGGGTATTCATTATTGTTATGAGATGGTGGGAGTTCTGGCTCCCTGCTATTCTTCTGCCAATATCTCCCCATGTGGAGGGATAGGTCTGCCTTGTTTCTATTTCTTACAGTTTCCACTTACATGACCCAGGACTGACTTCCACCCGGACTGGCTTCCACCCGGGACTGGCTCCTGCCCGGACTGACTCCCGCCCAGGACTGGCTCCCACCTGGACTTTTTCCCTCCCAGGACTGGCTCCCACCTGGGACTGACTCCCGCCCGGCATGGCCAGGAGCGGGACTGACTCCCACCCAGGACCGACCCACAGCCACGGCAACCCAGCACTGACTTCCGGTTTGGTTGAGCCTTAGGTCATAACGGTCATTTCACCCTGGCTCTTTATTATATAGGATTTAGGTGCTTCTATATTGGGTGCATATATGTTTACCAGGGTTATTTCTTCTGGTTGGAACAATCCTGTTAGTATTATGTAGTGACCATTTTTGTCTATTTTATGGCCTTATTTTGTGTGTGTGTTTTTTTGTTAATCCTCACCCAGGGATATTTTCCCATTGATTTTTAGAGAGAGTGGAAGGAAGGGGAGACAGAGATAGAAAGAAGCATGAATAGAGTGACACATTGATTGGTTTCCTCCCGCACATGCCCTGATCAGGGCCATGGATCGAGCCTGCAACTGAGGTACATGCTTTTGACTGGAATTGAACCCCCAACCCTTCAGTAGGGATAGAACCCTACTGATGTTCTATCCACTGAGCCAAACCAACTAGGGCTTATGGCCTTTGTTTGGAAATCTATTTTGTCAGACATAAGTATTGCTATCCCTGCTTTTTTTTTTCCTTTTCCATTTGCTTGGAAATTTTTTTCCCATCCCTTCATTTGCATGTCTGGCTTGTGCTCACTGCAGACATCTGGAAGCCATGGCAAGGTAGCGTGCCACTCACTGCAGGATTGCAACAGTGATCCCTTGAGAGTTATGGCTGGCCAGTTTGGGGTGGTGTCTGAGGCCAGTCTGGGTGTCAGTGTGGCTGCACTCCTAGTCTCTGCTGTGTCCCTCTTCAATATGGCATGGGCTCTGTGCTAGAGCCTTGCCAGGCCTGGGACTTCCTATGGAGGTAGCAGGTGGTCCCTATCCAGGAGAGCCTGATCCACCAGTCCCTGAGGCTCCTGAAAGAGCTAACTGTCTCGCCCCCCCCCCCCCCCCTCACACACCACATGTCCACACCCTCCCCTCTCACTCCTTTACTCACTCAAACTCTCTTCCTCACTGCTGGCCTGCTGGCTGCTATTTTTGGATCTCATCATTGATGTTTCTATCTCTCCATCTCCCTTCCTCTCTGAAATCAATTTAAAAATATTTAAAAAACTAGCCAGAAGCAAAGAATAAGATACCTGACATTGAGAATTCACTGGAAGGAATTGCAAGCAATATTGATGAAGCGACTTGGAAGACAAGGTAGAAAAAAAACAACAGGCCTATCTTAAAAAAGAAGAAAAAGTGGTAATTATCTAACCCTACAACTTAAAGAAATAGATAGAGAGCAAGAAGAAAAGCCCAGAGTAAGTAGAAGGAAGGAAATAATAAAGATCAAAGCAGAAAGAAATTACATAGACCTCACCCCCCATAAAAAGTACAAAAGATCAATAGAATCAAGAGCTGGTTCTTTGAAAGGATAAACAAGATTGATGAACCTCTAGCCAAGCTCACCAAGAAACACAGAGAGGACCCAAATAAAATCAGAAATGAAAGAGGTGAAGTAACAACCGACATCACAGAAATACAAAAGATTGTAAAAAAAAAAATGCTACAAACAACTTTATTCCAACAAAGTGGACAACCCAGATGAAGCAGACATATTCCTAGAAAAATACAATCTTCCAAAATTCAATCAGGAAGTATCAGAAAACTGAGATAGGCCAATAACTACTGAAGAAATTGAAGCAGTAATAAAAACAACTTCCAGCAAACTAAAGCCCTGGTGCAGATAGCTTCACAGGAGAGTTTTACCAAACATTCACAGAAGAACTAAAGCCTACCCTCCTCAGGCTATTCCAAAAAATTCAAGAGGAAGGAACACTTCCAAGCTCTTTCTATGAAGCCAGCATTACCCTAATCCCAAAACCAGATAAAGATACTACAAAGGAAGAGAATTACAGGACAATATCCCAGATGAACTTAAATGCTAAAATTCTCAACAAAATATTAGCAAATTGGATACAGCAAAATATTAAAAAGACCATATACCATGACCAAGTGGGATTTATTCTTGGGATGCAAGGCTGGTACAATATCTGCAAATCAATAAACATAATCTACACTAATAAAAGAGAAACATGGTAATTGGCGTACGACCGCTACCCTTCCCATTGGCTAATCAGCATATCCTCATGCAAATTAACTGTCAGCCAAGATGGCGGCCGGCAGCCATGCACTGAAGCGAGCAGGGAGGCTTGCTTGCTCCAGTGACTGCAGACTCCAATGTTCCCCGCCTAACTTGCCAGCCTCTCAGCTGCAACTCTAAGCAACTATGTTGCAAATAAGAAGCTAAACAAAACTCCAGAAACCAGCTGTCAGTCAGCCCCGGACCGCAACATTGTATCGATGTTTTCAGCAGCGAGGCCTCAGAGCAAAGCTGGCCCAGAATAAAAAAAAAAAAAAAGAAAACAAGGAGCGGTTGGGAGCTTTTAGTCACCTGCCAGCCGGAAAACAGCCCTCAGCCCCTCAGCCAGCCTGGCCAGGCACCCAGGTGGGGACCCCCACCCTGATCCAGG